TCCTACTTGGCGTTCTTGGGAACGATTTCCAGATATAACGGCCGTCAAATTATTATTTATCGATGTTGTGCAAGGTGCAATAATGTAATCAGACCATGCCGCATTGAAGAGCTTGTTTACTAAACAGAGAATGGTGCTGTTAAGGGCAGGATCTTCTGCGTAGAAAACGTACCGGTAGTTATGAGTGAGCTTGTTTCGTCATGCCTGATGTTTTCCTCGATGTCTGCAAATGTAACACAGTCCTTGTAAATAGCCCGATCAAATTCGGTGATGTGGGTTCACGATGCAAAACGTGTTGGAAAACCAAATTCAGTGTCGCAGGGAACGCGGCAAGTGACGATTGTTGTCCTCTCCGACGAAAGGTCATGTATGGGTGGCCCATCGATCAGCGACACATTATGGGAGCTTGAAGCTTCGTTGTCAGAAATGACAGACGTGCTACGCCTGTGCAACAGGAAAGTAACGTTACTATGCGTTGGATGGTCCAGGAGATGCTCTGAAAAACCGGAGAGGTTTGTATCGACTCCCTTTTCTGGCTATGGTTAGTCACCACTGGCACGCAAACTCTTTCATCGGCTCCATGACACCGTGCAACGTGACGGAGGCTGCACGCATCGCACGGCGCGGCTTGATGTCCTGCTTGACCAGGCCTGCCTTCCGCAGCGACTTCGGCAAGAACCCGTCCATCAGCAAGTTCGGCGGCTCTCAAGTGTCGCTGCGCCGCTCGGACGGCTCCCAGATCGCCACCAGCATCTCGCCGTACCCGGCCGTGCTGCACGGCTACGTCATGCAGGAGAGATGGGACGACGCCGTGCGGCTCTGCCGCTTCATCAAGGTGCGAGCAGAGGCGGCGGGGTCAGCGGGACGAACCAGCGGAAGACTGTGAGACAGTACACGTCAGCGGCAGTCTGTGTGGGATGGTACACGTCAGCGGCAAGCTGTGTGGGACAGCACATCTCAACGTCAGGCTGTATTGGACAGTACACGTCAGCGGCAGACTGTGGGTCAGTGCACGTCAGCGGTAGGCTGTGTGGGACAGCACACCTCAACGTCAGGCTGTGTGGAACAGCACACCTCAACGTCAGGCTGTGTGGGACAGTACACGTCAGCGGCAGGCTGTGTGGGACAGTACACGTCAGCGGTAGGCTGTGTGGGACAGTACACGTCAGCGACAGGTTGTGTGGGACAGTGCACGTCAGCGGTAGGCTGTGTGGGACAGTACGGGTCAGCGGTAGGCTGTGTGAGACAGCGCACCTCAACGTCAGGCTGTGTGGGACGGTACACGTAAGCAGCAGGCTGCATGGGACGGTACTCGTCAGCGGTAGGCTGTGTGGGACGATACTCGTCAGCTCTATGCTGTGTGGGACAGCACTCGTCAGCGGTAAGCTGTGTGGGATGGTTCACGTCAGCGGTAGGCTGTGTGAGACAGCACACCTCAGCGGTAGGCTGTGTGGGACGGTACACGCCAGCGGCAGGCTGTGTGGGACGGTACACGCCAGCGGCAGGCTGTGTGGGACGGTACACGCCAGCGGCAGGCTATGTGGGACAGCAATGGTCATCATGAGGCTCAGTGGAACGGTGCACATCAGCGGAAGGCTCAGTGGGATAGTACACGTCAGCGGCAGGCTGTGTGGGCCGGTGCTGGTCGGCGTGAGGCTCAGTGGAACGGTGCACATCAGTTAGAGGCTCAGTGGGACGGTACCTGGCAGCGAAACGCTGTGTGGGACGGTACATGCCAGTGGGAAGCACAGTGGTATGGTACACGACAGCGGCATGTTGAATTGAATGCAGAATGGACTATACATGCCGGTCGGTGGCGGCCAGTTCCTCTGTTCGCTGGTGATCCCACGCCCGCCAGGACTGCCGCCCGATCACCGCCGGCGGCACGCGCCAGCTCTGTTCCTGTCGTGGCAAGCCATGTCAGTGTTCGGTGGTGATAATGTGGCTATGGAAATGACGCTAGCGATCTGTTCACATCGATGTTTTACACGCGCGTTGGGCAAGGTGCACATGACCCCAAGCTGCAAACTGTGTGTCTGACTGCGCCAGTTTGCTAAATGCGTCGTGTTTTTATCACCGCTGGGTATGAAACATCCTCAGTAAATCAATATCCTGCCTGGTTTCGCCGGGCATTGTTTTAGGAAAAAGTGCGCTCACAAAAAAATGCGTTTTTTTGTGGTGATTTCTTGTTTGAACGCCTAAAAAAACTTAGTATTGTCGTACTTCTAAGCTGTTAACGGAGGTTGGTCTGTTCTAGCCTTCAGAATCCTGAATATTTAAGATAGCTTAATCAGTCATTTAAACCTCAAGCATGAGGTACTCAAAGGCGCGTGACTATCATGCTTTTGGGGCTGGGTAGCTCGATCCCCCCTCACCTCCCTCTAACATCTCGGGATGCTTGACACTACACTGACTGGACAGATTGCGTAAGTGTGTGTGTGCGTGCGTGCGTGCGTGCGCGTGCTTGGGTGTGCGTAGGTGGGCGCGTGGGACAATCTCGCTGTGGAGCTGCCTGGCCGTGTAATATGGGGAGACGAGGACACATGCGTCACTTCAGGTGTGGTGCGAGTGGCTAACCGGCTGTATGTAGCTGGTGGAAATACATACTTGTCAGCCGTTGCTGTTCTACGTGTGCATTGAAAATGCTTCCGAACGATTCCTATCGGAGCTGTAAACAAGGCGACCTCGCTCGATGCTAATACATCGCTGGTCTCGGAAGACCATACAGAAATGCGTGCTGAAGTAGACGTTATTGAAGACAGCACGATGGTCACCATCTTGGCCAATCACGCGGAGCGCCCAATGTCAAAATTACTCTTGTCTGAGCCACACTGACCATCTTAAGGACTGCACGGGTGGAAACACAAATATTATTAAACTAGCCGGAACCACAAAATGATGTTGTGCTCCCCCACTGAGAAATGCACAATCCACGATTTACAAACCCGGCAGGAATGTGCAAAAGGACGCATGTAGTAACAGTAGACATGTCACGTCCACCGTTCAGGTGGGGTGTCGGTTCAGTTATGACAACTCATCTACTACAGCTGCTGGCGAGGTTGGCCTCAATACCCCTCTGTCTTGCCAATGCATGTACGTTGTCTAAAACCTTGGGCAGGCTTGGTCCCAAAATGCAATATCCCATGCTGTTTGCACTTGTCATTCGTAGTTGGATCTCACGCCTCCGACTTGGCCAGCCATACCAGCTTTCTCGAAATCCTCCCGAACAACCCAGATTTCTATGTTGAAGTAGCCGTTTCGACCGCAGAAATGCCACTGGGTTCCCTGTTCACCACTATGAAAATGTCAAGATCCATTGGTCTTGCTCTCCCCAAACATTTGGTACATAGTGTCCTCAGAGCGTCCATCGCCAAAATGATTGTACTAGAAATGGTGCCGAGAGCTTGACGCTCTATTTCGGAAAAACTGTATACCCATATGCAGTCACTATCATGCGAACTCAACAAAACCTCGCATTGTGACTTTTACTTCTCTTCGGTGGCGTTTGGCAGCCACACTTTTCAAAAGCCGCCTTGGCTATGGGAAGCATTGTTTAGTTGGATTCTCACTTTATCGCAAAGTTGCAATGCGACAGTGGCGTCGCCATGCGGCTGATCCTACCTCTGAGGGCAGCGGCACGCAGACGGCCCCGGCCGTGGTGGATGGCCGCACCGGTCGTGTCCGACGTCACGCGCGCAGTTGCCGCCGCTGTCCACAGCCGAAGCTGGGCGGGGGGGGGGGGGGGGGGGGGCGTCGCCGGGGGACTGCCGGTGCACGGCCCATCTGGCCAAGGCGTGGGTGTGGTCCGCTTCGGCTCCAACCGTTACATCTTGTATCGCCGGGCGTTAACACGGTTTCGCAGGATGCGTTGGCTGCGACAGCAGCGTCGTTTAGGTCGCCGTGGGTAATATTCCCTTCACCCAACCCACTTTCCACCATGTCCTGTGCTCATGGGTGGCGTGTGCGCATGGCGGCAGAGTCCTCGCTGATCATTCGTTGTCATTGGTACTCAACCATTTCCATTGGCCCAACGTCTGTTTTAAGTCTCACCCGCTACCCATTTGATGTGTGTACCCAATGCTTTACTCACACCGAGAAGTCCTCTTCTGCGCCTGACTCCCATGTTCGGCGGCTGACACCAGTTGGTGGTGGCCAGGGCCGACAGCCTGTAGTGGCCTGGGCTGACAGCCCTGGCTACCATCAATAATTCATACACACCTTGTAAGGTCGCTGACCTACGACAGGTCAAATTCGGGCCACGGCTTGGGTGAAGACGGAAACGTTCAATCCGATGCAGCACCGAAGTGTTAGACGATGCAATACATCTGTGGGATAGTTTCTTAGCCAACACAACAACTGTATGAACAAATCAAACTGACCTATGGTCAGGTATGAAGGTCAGAACGAGGTCAAAACCACTCGTCTTCATTACTCTAGAGCTTGCTGTATGGGGTAGTTTCTGATACTCAATTCGAATTTACTGATAACGGGAACTGCATGACACACATTCCATAGACTGCTTAACACGCGCCCGGGTAGCCAGTTGAATACCATTCGCCCAGGTGGGAAATCAATTACCCCTCCCCACCTGAGTGCGCGTTAAAGGTCATTATAAATCACTGGCCTAAATTGACCCAGGTGAAGATTTGTTAGGAACATTCCGCCTGGCGCAATCTTTCACGCTTATTCAAATGCAAAACTGAAACGAGAACAGAAGCGAGCGTGAGAAGCCATACCACGCAGTCCTCAGCTGATGTGCATTCCAGCATTGGGCCATACGTCGAACGTGGCGCGGTTTTGCAACAACCACCTTGGGAGATTAAAATGCATTTGAGTTCAGACTCTGATGCATCAAACGGACGGAAAACAAAGGCAGCCTTATGGAGCACGGAAAATAATCACCACGTGGTACTTTTGCAGCTGTCCTACAAATACATGGATATGCTAGCTGCACATTGTGTCCAACTAAACAACATCCTTCAGTCCTCGCCTAAGCACCATTCAAACACAAGCATATATTATGGCCATGAATGCAGAAAGCAAGGCTGCGGATGCGAGAAGTGTGTTCAGCACACGGGGCTTAGGCTTAGACCGCGGTGCTCTGACAATTAGAGTACCCGGCACACCGCCACACTAACGAGATTACCTGAACAACACACGAGCTGGCCAGGCCCTCCAACCCCCGTGGCCGCGGCATCTCCAGGGCGCAGCTCAGTGGCCAGCCGTGAACCCCGAACGCTTGCGGAGGTTTTCAGACGGCTACACACTCCGTTCCATCCTCGTGAACCTGACGCGCGTGTGACAAACGGCGGGGGGAGCCCTGCTCCCTCCCGGAGAGCTAGAATGCTGATCAGGCAAGCGGTGACGGCCGAGGTGAAGGCACTCAGAACACCTCCTGGTCGGAGACGGCCTCTTCCACTTGCGCCTGACTGGTCACGGGCCAGCTGATGCCGTACGTGTTGGAGACGGACTGGCCGACCGAGGACGAGTTCACACTCTCCTTCTGCATCTCCACCTGCACCTTCAGTATGATCTTGTTCCAGTCGGCTTCCATCTGCGGTGATGTTGCCAGTTAGAGGGGAACAGGTTCATCTGGGTTGAGGCGATCAGTTAGAGGAAGGGGGGAGGGGCACGTCCATCTGGGTTGCGGAGATCGGTTAGAGGGGGGCAGGTTCATCTGGGGTGGGGTGATCGGTAAGAGGGGAGAGAGTTCATCTACGGAGGGATAGCTGGTTAGAGGGGAGTAGGTCCTTCTGTAACAAGGTGATTGGTTGGAGGGGAGCAGATCCATCTGGAACGAGGCGATCAGTTAGAGAGCAGGTGAATCTGGGGTGGGGTGATCGGTAAGAAGGAAGAAGGTTCATCTGTGGAGGGATAACTGGTTAGAGGGGAGTAGGTCCCTGTGTAATAGAGTGATCGGTTAGACGGGAGCAGGCCCATCTAGGGTGGGGGTGACCGGTTAGAGGGCAGGAGGTCCACCTGGGGTGGGGTTATCGATAAGGGGGAGAAGGTTTATATGTGGAGGGATAGCTGATTAGAAGGGAGTAGGTTCATCTGGGTTGAGACGATCAGTTAGAGGAAGGGGGGGGGGGGAGGCACGTCCATCTGGGTTGCGGGGATCGGTTAGAGGGGAGCAGGTTCATCTGGGATGGGGTGATCGGTAAGAGGGATAGCTGGTTAGAGGGGAGTAGGTTCTTCTGTAATAGGGTGATCGGTTAGAGGGGAGCAGGTGAATCTGGGGTGGGGTGATCGGTAAGAGGGATAGCTGGTTAGAGAGGAGTAGGTTCTTCTGAAATAGGGTGATCGGTTAGAGGGGAGCAGGTTCATCTAGGGTGCGGTGATCGGTTAGAGGGGAGCACGTGAATCTGGGGTGGGGCGACCAGTTAAAGGGGAGCAGGTGAATCTATTGTGAGGTGATCGGTTAGACGGGAGCAGGTTCATCTAGGGTGCGGTGATCGGTTAGAGGGGAGCAGGTGAATCTGGGGTGGGGTGACCAGTTAAAGGGGAGCAGGTGAATCTGTTGTGAGGTGATCGGTTAGAGGGGAGCAGGTTCATCTAGGGTGCGGTGATCGGTTAGAGGGGAGCACGTGAGTCTGGGGTGGGGCGACCAGTTAAAGGGGAGCAGGTGAATCTATTGTGAGGTGATCGGTTAGACGGGAGCAGGTTCATCTAGGGTGCGGTGATCGGTTAGAGGGGAGCAGGTGAATCTGGGGTGGGGTGATCGGTTAGAGGGGAGCAGGTGAATCTATTGTGAGGTGATCGGTTAGAGGGGAGCAGGTTCATCTGGGTGCGGTGATCGGTTAGAGGGGAGCAGGTGAATCTGGGGTGGGGCGACCAGTTAAAGGGGAGCAGGTGAATCTGTTGTGAGGTCATCGGTAAGAGGGGAGCAGGTGAATCTCGGGTGGGGTGACCAGTCAAAGGGGAGCAGGTGAACCTATTGTGAGGTGATCGGTTAGAGGGGATTATGCTCATTGTTTCGGGTGACTGGTGATGGGAAGCAGGCTCATCTGGAGCAAAGTGACCGGTTAGAAAGAAAGAGGCCACTCTGCAGAACAGTGGCCGGTCAGAGGGGAGAAGGTTGCTCTGTGGTTGACCAGTTTTAGGAGAGCAAGGCTTTCTGTAGTATGGGAATTGGTTACAGGGGAGCACACCCGTCTGTGACGGGGTGACCGGTTGGAGGAGAGCACGTTCGTCTGTGACAGGGTGACCGGTTGGAAGGATCAAGCTCTTGGAATGATACCGTTGGACACTAGAAAGCTCCCTTTAACGAGATACCACACGCTGCATTTTGAACAATCCATAATGTCATTTATTTAGTGCACCAACTACCCATTACTGAGAACACTTTCCTCACTACTGATCAAGCACCAAAATATCACCAAGGGTATCTATAAAAACTTCAAACCGACGCAAGCTTGCAGCCCCAACACTCATGCTACAGACAACCATTACGGTGCGTAGGGCTCAGAAGGGCACACTGAGGCCGTGCGAGGGAGTTCACAGCTTGCGACGACGGGCTGGATCGATGCGTGGATGTTGGTGTCGCGTACCTCACGCGAAGCAACGGATCAGTGTGCGTGCCAGTGTGCACACGGATCAGTGTACGTGTTCTCCGAACGAGGAGGGCAGCCAGGGCCTCGCATGCAGGTGTGCTCCCCGGGACGCGGCAGAGGGCCAGTCAGACGGATCAGTGTGCGTCTGCTCCGAGCAAGGAGGGCAGCCAGGGCCTCGCATGCAGGTGTGCTCCCCGGGACACGGCAGAGGGCCAGTCAGACGGATCAGTGTGCGTCTGCTCCGAGCGAGGAGGGCAGCCAGGGCCTCGCGTGCAGGTGTGCTCCCCGGGACACGGCAGAGGGCCAGTCAGACGGATCAGTGTGTGTCTGCTCCGAGCGAGGAGGGCAGCCAGGGCCTCGCGTGCAGGTGTGCTCCCCGGGACACGGTAGAGAGTCACAGCGAGACGGCGGCCCACCGGCCACAAGTGGGCAGCACGTCACAAGGGCCTCGGCGGTGAGAGGTCGGACAGAGACCGACGGCTGCAGACGGGATGGACGCACACAAGCACACGAACAGCACGTGATACGGGCCGCTACTGCTCCGTCATGTCGGGGATGTCCTCGTTCTCGTCGGCCGCCGCCTCACGCTTCCGCTTCTTGGCATCCTTCACCATCTGAGCATGGCGGGGCCGGTTGTCAGTGAGCTGACAGGAGGGCGTTATAGCGCTACGCCACGGATCATTCTCAGCGGTGGGGCACGGCGGTGCGGGCACACCGCCCAACTCTGCAGGACTGAACACGGCACTGCTAACCACAGGTGCCGTACGATAAATACTCTGGCGAGGGGTCAGTGGGAAGTCATCAATGGTTTGATTGGAGTTTAGAGTGTTAGCTGTCTAAAGCAGCGAAACGTGCCATCGAAATTATGTTCTCATTGATTTGTCGAAAGTTCTTTCAACCCAGTATCATTAGGTCTAATGCCACTGGGTGTACGTAGAAACCACCTGCGACTCAGAGGAAAAAGCTTCTAAATTTGATGAATCTCACCATTTCTGCATGAATTCCCCCTACAAATTCAGCCAGAATGCCTCTGTGGCTAAAAGCTCGCATTGCTTTAGTCACACAATGTGTGATAAGTGTGTGTAGATAGTCCGCGACTTGTTTGGCAAGACGTTAGTTTGGTGATGCACAGCCCGTCCGATTAACGACAGCCGCAGAACCTCAGCACGTCAACCGATGGCTGTATTATGCATTGGCGCATGGCGCTGCATCTGAAGGTCAACACGTTGCGCAGTACGCTTTTATGTGATGCCCGGGCTACTCCTGCGGCCGTCCATGGCGATGCTCGAGACCACGTGGTCGTGGTGCTACACGTCAATACACACACCGTTATAATACTTGCAATCGCGGCATGCCTTGTTACGGCTCCGCTTTGGCGAGCGCACTGGTCATTCGATCCGTGAACGCTCTAACTTGGTCCAACATGTTCAACGGTTTCAGTAACGCAGCATACAGCAGCATACAATCCCTTTACGTCCTCTTGCAAAAGTTCAGTGCATTGCACTGATTTCCACTCTGAATACACTCACATTGTACCGCATGCGTAACGTCATATTCTGTTAATGGGCACCAACTGTTTAGAGTAAACTTAATTTCTAGCATACAATTGCAAATCAAGTCGATTTTCAGGAATATACAGCAATTTGTGTACCGGTCTTCGCTCTCCACAACATCTATTACCATGGGCGCTTTGCTCCACTCACCGACTTGTACTGAAGGAACAGCTGGTTGGTCTCCTCCTTCTCGAAGCGCTCCAAATACTTCTTCCGGAAGGCGATCACCGTGTCGATGTGCGTCTTGTACTTGACTGCCATGGCCAGAGCCCTGCCGACGCGGCATGTTTGGTTGGTGCAGTCCGCTCGCGTGGCCAGTGGCGGGCGCCGATGCTGGGCCATATGGCCAACTGACGCACAACACCACCACCGTGCATACGGACAGAACGTCGCCAAGCGACATCGGGCCGACACACGGAGCCGGAGCTGGAGACTGGTCGAGCCGCCAGTCGGACCACAGTGTGCATAGTCTGATATTCCGATATTCTGATTTCCGATATTTTTAGCATAAACTTCTTGAGGTTATCAACAATGCGAAGAGAAAAACATCTTTAAAATACCTTCTTTTATATATTAGGGAACGTCAAAAGAAAGTTTCATATGAAAGAGCCGCCACACTCAGCCAGGCATCAGCTGACGATGAGCTATCTCCAGGCCAATCATATAATTTCCTCACAGTAAAAGCCTTCACCGATTATAAACCTTCAGCATTCACAAAGGACACCACATGCATGAGTATTCTGCATAGGCTCATGGCGTTCCTTGGGCGCACAAATCCGCCCCCATGGCCACACGCGTCGCGTCAGCCTGGCCTGGCGAGTTATGTGCAGCTAATAGAGCCCCTCTGTTCAAGCCCGGACGTTTGAGAAACAGATAGATATAGGCCTTTAAAAAACATGCAGTCTGTTGTTCTCCCGGAAGTTGAGAGGATAACCATCCGTAACGTGATTTGATGCATCATTTTAACAGCAATCGTCAACGCTCAAAGAGCAAGAGCAGAGCTCGATTCTGACTGGTTTGGCATGCTTCTTCATTGGTTCATAAAGACGAATTATCCCATCCCTTTCGTAACACGTGGGCGTGACCGTTTCCGTTTATAGACAGTATATAAGCCATGCATGCTGATGTGACGACTTTCTGAGGGACAAAATTGGTGCTGTTTGTGCGTGTGGACAATGTGCTTTGCAGCGAGTGTTGTTAAGGGCGATATACTGCTAAATAAAAGCACTAGACTAACAAAATGCATCTTAACCCGACACGCCATAAGGACCATCACGAGCGAGGTCATCACTAGTAGAACCATCAAGCAAGCAGTTAGAAGCCTGCTACACATGCCGATCCTTTTCTTCTCAATATATGTACGCTATCCGGCCGATCACCCAATTCGTGCGAGGAGCCATGGACGTGCCCAAGACGTGAATCCATTAATGTACCGTGTTCACCATGCTTATGGACAACGTCGTTGTAGCAGTGCCTTATGGTCAGGCCGATTCCTTTCAGAATGGGATGTCGCAACTCATATGCTGAGAGACCTGGAGCTCAAGAGGTGTTTTACATTCATGATGATATGAGGTGTGTCGGCTTAACGGCGTCAGCACTGGCCCAAAACTCTGACAGTGAACGCGACTTGATGCGACTGACTTTTCCCACTGGTACAGCTGGATGTTGAGCATGATTGCCCTGAATATCTGGCTGGTGTGCACCAGAATGGCCTCAGCATCCAGAGGGGAGCCGGCCAGCAGCGTCAGCTCGGCCGCCTGCGCCTCAGCCGATGACAGTCCCTGAGAGACAGAGTACACAGACCACTAGATCACACCATTGGCCCTCACAGAGTTAACAGAATCACACAACAAGCCATGAAAGAGACCACAAGACCACACAGCAGGCCCTGACACAAACCACAGGACCAGACAACAATCCCCTGACACGAACCACAGGGTCACAATTGGCCTGGTACAGGCCGCAAGGCTGCACAATAGGGCCTGGCACAGACCACAAAGCCACACAATAGATCTGGCACAGACCACCAGACCACACGACACGTCCTGACACAGACCACAAGGCTACACAGCAGACCCTGGCAAAGACAACAGGGCCACACAATGTGCCCTGGCACGGACCACAAAACCACAAAACAGGTCCTGACACAGACCACAAGACCGCACAACATACCCTGACACGGACCACAAGACCACACATGCCCTGACACGGACCACAAGACCGTACAACAAGCCCTGACACGGACCACGAGACCACACAACATGCCCTGGCACGGACCACAAGACCGCACAGCAAGCCCTGACACGGACCACAAGACCACATAACATGCCCTGACACAGACCACAAGACCGCACAACAAGCCCTGACACGGACCACAAGACCACATAAAGGTCAGCAGTCAGCAGTCTGAATCTCACTTCAAGGTACATCCGGGCGGTTTTGCGCCGGAATGCGGCGGGGCATCCCTGGTATTCCCCGGGAGACCGGTTCGGATTATGCGGTCCTATGGCGACCGTAGATCACGGCGGAATACGTAGCCAGTTTATACCCCCTCACCTTCCACCCCCCCCCCCCCTCCCGCCTCAACGACAGCTGCTTAGCTTATCTGCTGCACGCTTCGACGACGCGATACTGTCGGCAGACACGGCTGGCTGCTATAGATGCGCGGATAGTAAGCAGCGAACACAAAACACACCATCCACTGAGATGTATACGGCACGGCTTGACGGGACAGGACGATGCACACTAGCTTTGGCATTATTTGGGCTGGTGTAAGTAGACTCTAACTATGAAGCATAAGCGAGGTGGATTATTCGCGTGTGTACATATATATATATATATGTATATATATATATATATATATATAGCGTAATTTTAGGAGACATAACTGCCGCGCAAAGGCACAAAAGCTAAAGGGTTATGTTCACGAATGGTTTATAGGCCTTTTTTCCTTTGGCCGGCAGACAAACGAGTGCTTCCCGCTCTTACAAACAGCCACCGCTGTATACAAGCCAATGAATAGCAAACCATTCAAGAATCTAACGCAATATAACTAAACATACTTTCATATGTTAACTAAATCTAAGTTAAGAAGTGAAATGGGCCCCATTTAATCAATGAAATAAAATCGATAAATGCAATAAATCCCATACATTGACCTAAAAACACAGCGTAAATTTACTTAAATTTGTAGCCGTAATTGCCGGCAATTAATTACATTTATTTTACAATCACTCGTTCACAGATAATTGGTGGCGAGGGTCAGTGGTAGAATGGCCGAACGAGCCCACACATACCTTGATATAGCGGAGGTATTCGACCTTGTCGGCCTGGTCGATGCAGGAGTAGGCGATCTCGGCGGTCTCCAGCTCGCGGGCCACAGTCGCCATCCCGGCCAGGCAGCCCCACAGCGAGTCAGACTGTGCCACACACACAGAGCTGACACCTGAGGCGACACATGTGTCCCCGACTCCCCATCTTACACGGCCAGGCAGCCCCACAGCGAGGATGTCTCACACGCCCACCTACGCACACCCAAGCACGCGCACGCACGCACGCACGCACACACCTACACAATCTGTCTAGTCAGTGTAGTGTCAAGCATCCCGAGTTGTTAGAGGGAGTTGAGGGGAAATCGAGCTACCCAGCCCCAAAAGCATGATAGTCACGCGCCTTTGAGTACCTCATGCTTGAGGTTTAAATGACTGATTAAGTTGTCTTAATATTCAGGATTATGAAGGCCAGAACAGACCAACCTCCGTTAGCAGTTTAGAAGCACGACAATACTAAGGTTTTTTAGGCGTTCAAAAAAGAAATCCCTATGAAAAACGCTTTTTTGTGAGCGCATTTTTTCCTAAAACAATGCCCAGCGAAAACAGCAGGATATTGATTTACTGACGGTGTTTCAGATGCAGCAGTGATAGAAATATGACGCATTCAGCAAACTGACGCAGTCAGACACACAGTTTGCAGCTTGGGGCCATGTGCACTTTGCCCAACGCACGTGTAAAACACCGATGTGAACAGATCGTTAGCGTCATTTCCATAGCCACATTATCACCACAGAACACTGGCATGGCTTGCCACGACCGGAACGGAGCTGGCGCGCGCCGCCGGCGGTGATCGGGCGGCAGTCCTGGCGGGCGTGCGATCACCAGCGAACAGAGGAGCTGGCCGCCACCGACCGTCATGTGTAGTTCATTCTGCATTCAATTCAACATGCCGCTATCATGTACCGTTCCACTGTGCTTCCCACGGGCATGTAATGTCCCACACGGCCTTTTGCTGCCGTGTACCGTCCCACTGAGCCTCCCGCTGATGTGCACCGTTCCGCTGACCCTCACGCTGACCAGTACCGGCCCACACAGCCTGCCGCTGACGTGTATCGTTCCACACAGCCTACCGCTGACGGTCCCACACAGCCTACCGCCGACGCGTACTGTCCCATACAGCCTGCTGCTCACGTGTACCGTCCCACACAGCCTGACGTTGAGGTGCGCTGTCTCACACAGCGTACCGCTGACCCGCACTGTCCCACACAGCCTACCGCTGACGTGTGCTGTCCCACATAGCCTGCCGCTGACGTGCACCGTCCCACACAGCCTACCGCTGACGTGTACTGTCCCACACAGCCTGCCGCCGACGTGCACCGTTCCACACAGCCTACCGCTGACGTGTACCATCCCACACAGCCTACCGCTGACGTGTACTGTCCCACAGTCCTCCGTTGGTTCGTCCCGCTGACCCCCGCCGCCTCTGCTCGCACCTTGATGAAGCGGCAGAGCCGCACGGCGTCGTCCCATTTCTCCTGCATGACGTAGCCGTGCAGCACGGCCGGGTACGGCGAGATGCTGGTGGCGATCTGGGAGCCGTCCGAGCGGCGCAGCGACACTTGAGAGCCGCCGAACTTGCTGATGGACGGGTTCTTGCCGAAGTCGCTGCGGAAGGCAGGCCTGGTCAAGCAGGACATCAAGCCGCGCCGTGCGATGCCTGCAGCCTCCGTCACGTTGCACGGTGTCATGGAGCCGATGAAAGAGTTTGCGTGGCAGTGGTGACTAACCATAGCCAGAAAAGGGAGTCGATACAAACCTCTCCGGTTTTTCGAAGCATCTCCTGGACCACCCAACGCATAGTAACGTTACTTTCCTGTTACGCAGGCGTAGCACGTCTGCCACGTCTGACAACGAAGCTTTAAGTTCCCATAATGTGCTGCTGATCGATGGGCCACCCATACATGACCTTACGTCGGAGAGGACAACGATCGTCACTTGCCGCGTTTCCTGCGACACTGGATTTTGTTTTCCAACGTGTTTTGCATCGTGAACCGACATCACCGAATTTGATCGGACTATTTACGGGGAATGTGTTACATTTAAAGACATCGAAGCAAGCATACGGTATGCAATCTCACTTGTAACTATTGGTATACTTCTTATGTTGTTAATGTTAAATTTACGTTAATGTTAAAATGATAAAGTTAAATGACTGCTCCAGACAGCACAATTTGCTGTTTCGTAAATATGCTGCTCAATGCGTCGTGGCTTAGTATCGTCATCGGCCCTTGCACAACATTGATTACGAGCCAATTCACGACCGTTATATCTGGAAGTCGCGCTCACTAAAGCCAGATATGAACGCTTCGATAATTATATTGCTCTTGGTATTAATCGCCGCGTGGTTTATGTAATGGTAGGACTTTAATGACATTACTACAACGTTGTGTATGTCAAGGTGACTTAGAATTACTCTCTCTTATAAACCTGTCCCATTTTCGCGGGAGTGTGAATCAGAAACCAGAGGATTGTGAACATCACCGAAAGTTCTCCAATATAGCTAGTTCAGTTCATAGCCTCGTATAAATGTGGAACACTCCCTGTAGGTTCCGGATCATGTGAGGTCAAACCTTAAAAACTGTCCACGGTAATATGAATAGACCCTTCTCGCCTGGACAATATCACCGACGCACATAAATGTCTCATGCGCAGGGGTATCTCATAACGATGTCATAGCAAGTCATCCAATCAGCTCGGTAAACTCACATTATCTGTCATAAGAAAGTGGCGACTCCCTTTTTTATTCTCAGCCCAAACGCAAATCTGCGCAGAGACGGCAGTCACGCCTCACATGCCAACCGCGACAAGTGCTGGAACAATTGATTTAAAGATGCAGCTCGCAGATATGGTACTTTCGCTGTTTTGTAATTCGGGCTCTGTTGTCGGGTGTAGGACCCGCGCGGCGATCGTCACACGGTCCTGCATTCCGGACAGTGGCGGTCCTAGCAGAGCTGGCAACAGTTGTGCTGCGCAAAGAGCGCGTGGCTGCATCCTGTTGAGTCGGAGGATTACCATAAAATCCCAGTGCGACGACCCTCATGAGGGAGGGGGAGGGGCTTCAAGAGAGGCCCGGCAACCATGCTTGTGCATGCAACACATTCCACCCGTGGTTGCGTCATCAACCTGTGGTGCATATACTCTGCCGGCATCTCTCGTAGTGTCAGTTTAATGGTGGGACCGCTGGCAGGTACCCAGGCGGCTCCGGACAGTGCGCCCCCCTCCCACGTGCGGTACAGAATGGTGCGACCCTGGCTGTGCCTGGCGCTGGCTGCCGCTCTTGACCTGACGTATGGACGTTTGGTCGTCTGGACAGACCGAGGTGAGGATTGAAGACAATTGTGATCGCAGGGAAACACGCGTCACATAAAGACCGCAAATGGTCTCAGAACACAAGCCAGGCAGAAAGTCGCCAATGGTCTCAGCACACGTCAGTCAAAGACAGTGATGTTTACAGAGACGACGCTGCAAATGAGACATCAATCTCACCTCAATTATCAATCCAGTCCAACAATGGTCTCACCTGATACTGGGACTTAGACTAGCCAACTTCAAGGTACGAAACAGCACGTTTCGTCCCATAAAGGTTTAAGGGAATAAAAACACATTTTGAAATTCAGCTGCAATCAATAGGCTGGGTCTTACGACCTAGCAGATACCGTTTTGCAAATCTAAGGCCGCCGATGCCATCGCAGGTCAGGTCAAGTTCAAAAGTTCCGACAGATTTGCGACCGCTTGTTATCTGCAGCTAACAAGCCAGCCTGAAAATCCGAATACTGCACGTGTGTCGTCACGGTGGCTGGCTGTGCCGCAGGCGTCCAGTTCACCATGGTGACTGATGACTGTCGCGCCCGCGAGAGACAGCAGCCGAGCAGAAGCCTATTCCTTCGGAGGCCACGACGCCCTCACAGTTTGACACAAGCACACACTTTACATGACCTCGGTAACCGATCGTTAGCCAGCAAGGCCACCTGCTGTGGTCGGTCGATGGCCGCCCCATCTACCGGACCTCGCGGCACCGGGCGGCTGCCGGTGCGTCCCGGCAGGCCAACCGAGCAGCGACACCCAGGCAGTGGCCATTGCGGCCAGGTGCTAAGATAGCTCAAAACACTCCGCAGAATACGCACATTTTCACAAATAGTTCCACAAATTTATTTTCACATCAATATGGGGGCACTGCTTAACACAGTGGCCTGTTGGGATGACCTGCACTACATTTTTGAAATATGGGTTTGTTTCCTTTACTTCGTACGTGCTACGCATACGCTTCAGGTAGAAAAACGGCACCTTCTTAATCAAATTTCAGTGCTGCGTTAAGCGGTATGCGAATACGCCTAAATCTGGCCTACAAAGTCAAAGTCAAAGTCGGGCGACCTGGGTTGACCTTTGGGAATATACTCTGTGATTTACACACGGGAATGGGGGAAGCCTGAATGAAAATAATAAACTAATGAAAATGCGCCTGAGAGCAACACAAATAGTCTTATCAGGGCATCCACCTGCACAAGCACTTTATAAAGGACATTCATTGGCCCCGTGTATGCTAGTGATGTCAAGGGAGCCATCCACGGGCGCTTTATCAGCACCACACCAATTATGACGGCTTTGGGGCAGTGTTCATTGAACGCCACATGTGCTGATCACGATAGTCTGTCCCCTCAACCAGCATTAACCTTTCAACACGCCGGCCCCCCAATCGGTTAACTCAGCGACCTCGTTGTCGATAGGCGCCGCTGGCTCGGCCTGCCTGACGTCTGCCGGTCATCTGGGCACGTGTCGACCGGCCGGCAGCTGTCCCCTCTCAGACGGCGTCACCACCGCCGGCTGCCGGACCGGGGAGCGCTGCTGCCCGCACGACAGTGGCGCCGCCATGCGGCTGATCTTCCCACCCTCCGAGGCCAGCCGTGCGTCGACGGGTCCGGTGGACGCCCGCACCGGCCGCGGCCGCCGCCAGGCCGGCAGGCGGTTTCGCCCCCGTTCGCAACAGCGGTGGACCCACCCCGGCGCCCGAGGATATGTCGGGGGCGGGCAGGTGAATCGCCTTCAGGCCCAGGGCACGGGCGTGCTCCGCACGCACGTGCGCTACTTCAGCTATCGCAAGGTGTTGGCCCGGCTGCGGCAGCTGCAGCGGCTGCGGAAGCTGCGGCGGCTGCGGCAGCTGCAGCGGCTGCGCCGCTTAGGCCGTCGCGGGTAACAAATACGCTGCCTTATCTAACCTGCACCAGTGGGGCTGTCCCTACACCCACCCACTAACCATTCCGTATTGGCAATACCCATCCGTTTGCTCTTTCAATATCTTAGTTCCTAGTAAGTAGTAAGATGTCTGGCAATGGAACTTTTCACGACTAAAAATTGCAGGCTGCAGCATGACATGGCAGGTAGTTTACAAGTATTCACGTGATATTTAGTAAATTTTGTGCCCATACCCATACACAGTAATTTCTCAGAATCTGCACGCAGTTTCACCCGTTACCCATTGCATACATGTACCCATGGGTAAACTCAACCCCTGAAGTCCTCTATCATGCCTGCTTACCGCGATCGGTGGCTGGCCACCACCACCCGATGGTGGTGGCCAAGGCCGACAGCCTGTGGTGACCAGGGCCGATAGCCTGTGGTGACCAGGGCCGACAGCCTGTGGTGGCCAGGACCGACAGCCTGTTGTGACCAGGGCCAACAGCCTGTTGTGACCAGGGCCGTCAGCCTGTTGTGACCAGGGCCGACAGCCTGTGGTGGCCAGGGCCGACAGCCTGTGGTGACCAGGGCCGACAGCCTGTGGTGACCAGGGCCGATAGCCTGTGGTGGCCCGGGCCGACAGCCTGTGGTGGCCAGGGCCGACAGCCTGTGGTGGCCAGGACCGACAGCCTGTTGTGACCAGGGCCGTCAGCCTGTTGTGACCAGGGCCGACAGCCTGTGGTGGCCAGGGCCGACAGCCTGTGGTGACCAGGGCCGACAGCCTGTGGTGACCAGGGCCGATAGCCTGTGGTGGCCCGGGCCGACAGCCTGTGGTGGCCAGGGCCGACAGCCTGTGGTGGCCAGGACCGACAGCCTGTGCCCGTACCGGCGCACCTGCACACCCTTTCCGACCATTTGCAACAACTCGTGCTGAGCGGCTCACCGGTGGCACAGTACAGCACGTCACGTTGTCTGTGTTATCGTTCACCCGCGCCGTGCGAGTGGCTGGCCGGCTGTATGTAGCTGGTGGAAATACATACTTGTCAGCCGTTGCTGTTCTACGTGTGCATTGAAAACGCTTCCAAACGATTCCTGTCGGAGCTGTGAACACGGCGACCTCGCTCGATGCTAATACATCGCTGGTCTCGGAGGACCATCCAGAAATGTGTGCTGAAGCAGAAGTTATTGAAGACAACACGATGGTCACCATCTTGGCCAATCACGCGGAGCGCCCAATGTCAAAACTACTGTTGTCTGAGCCACGCTGGCCATCTTGCGGACTGTACAGGTGGAAACACAAAAATTATTAGACTATTCGGAGCGACAAAATGAGGGTGGGCTCCCCCACTGAAAAGTGCACAATCCACGCTTCACAAACCAGGTTGGAATGTGCAAAAGGACGCATGTAGTAACAGTAGATGTGTCACGTCCAC